CGCAAGGCGCCCGAGCCGCCCTCCAGAGCGCCCGGAGATCAAAGGGAAAGCAGTAATGAGCCTGGTAATCTTTTTATGCTCTTTAATTGCAAGGCAACAGAAAGTATAGCTGGCTAAACATTAAGGTAACGCCACCGTATGAGATGAGAACCTCGAGGGAGCAACCACAAAAGCGCAGATGCAAAGGATGCCTTTGTTGATGTTCCCTCACCGGCCAGGGCAGCCTGGGAGCAGCGCCCAGGCAGAGGTGTCCAGGTGGGAACCCAAGCGGGAACACCGGCACCGCAGAGCCCAGCCCGTGCCTGACGGCTGCCAAACCTGCTCCCTTCCTCTGTGTCAGGGATTCACACAGGTGTATCTGCCACGGTGCTTTGATCTTACCCACAGCAGGGCAGGAATCTCCAGCATCCCTCATAAGATGCCTTGTAAGTCTAATCACAGGCCTTATGTTATCTGAACACAGGTGTTCCACTTGTCAAACACACCAGATTAAAAAGCAATTAACATCATGTATGTGGGGTTTTGCACCCCTACTGCAAGTCACTTGAGTGTGTTTACAGTGCTCCTCATCAATCTTGTGTTATTTTCCCACAGGTGTGAGAAAGAGAAGTATTTAGAGCATGCAGATCAGAAAAAAACCCCAGACAATACCAAATTAATTATATTTAGGTTAAGTACAGAATTGTGTTTATGTTATTCTGATGGACTGCTTGGGGTGGGGAGAAAAGATTAGCTACTCTGAGAGAATATCATAGTAAATGGACTGACTAGAAGAATCTTAGAGAATGTCCACTTGTTTTTATATAATTCTTCCATTTGATCAGAAATTCAGTTTGCTGGTTCAAAAATACCTAAGAGTTGAGATTAAAATATCTGGAAAATGTGACAATGAGAACTAATTGTTTCAGAGGAGTTTCTTGATGAAATTGCTAGGCTGTATGACCACAATCTAACATTTTATTTAGAACTTTTGTTGGTGCTGAAACTGAGAGGTGATAAAGGTTGTTGCTTCACTTTTTGCAGTAACAGAGTCAACAGAATCAGCCTCCACTAAAGTGGAAGGAAGAGCCACTGAAATGCAGCCTGAAACAGGTTGGTTGTTTCTACAAAAGTACTGATATAATTTACTTCCTAGCAAGTTATGTTAATTCATAGCAATAAATTACTATTACAGATTACAGATTACTATTACTATTACAGATGTGTCATAAGTATAGAACTAATTTTAGTGCTTCAGATCAATTAAGTTTTCCTTTGAAGTAAAAGTGTGGCTTTCTAAAGTAAGAATATTTTACCTTTGTTGTCTACAGAAACTAATACAATATATTTTGTGTTGCTATCTGTGCTTTGCATTTAATAAACTAAACATTTTCTCTGATTTCTCTCCTTCCTTACAAGTTACAGAAAAGAACTATCCAGAATTTTTTGTGATTTTTTTTTTTTGTACCTCATAACAAGGTTTTCAAAAGCTAAAGCCCAGTGTTGTTTTTAGAACCCTGCCTTGTGCTGCCCTTGACCTGCATAACAAAGGGGCAGGAGCAAATCTGTGCCTGGCTTTGGTTGACATCTGAACAGCCTTTGAAAACATAAGTTGTAAATCTAAACTGAATGCATAAATAGCTGTTTATACATTAAATTATTTGTTGGGTATTATGGGAAAAATGTGATTTATGGAAGTATAGCTGTTTAAAATACAATTATTTAGCTGCTGAACATAATGCTTTTTTAAATTTATGTCGTTTGCACTGTGCAATACTGTTGTTTGTAAGCACCAGACTGTGGGGTTCAGTTACAGTATACAACATCTAGAAGTCTTCTAGAATTTGCAAAAGCTTTCAGAATAATCAGTGCCAGTGCAGTCTGAAAAAATAACTCTTCAGTGAATTTATTAAGAATCAGGTGTATAAATGCTAAGCCTGTGGGGTGCCCCTGTCATTATATAAGGCTAAGCACTCAGTTACTGTGCTAGCTGACAGGTATTTTAAAGTAGTTTTCCAGGTGTTTTATTCTGTATGCCAGTCAAATTGTTTGGAGTGGTAAAACAATGTACCACAAGAGCTGAAAGTCATCTGCCAGGATGATAGGCCTCTGGCAAAGGGGGAAAAATAAAAAAACAGTAATCAGTAAACTTGGGCTTGGTTTGTGTTTAGGGCAATTTATGTAAATTATTGAAAAAGACATTAAGTAGAAACATTATGTAACATACTAAATGGGAATGTGAACCTATGCTGTGGAGTCTGGGGTTGAAGATCTCACAAAGTTGTAACCTTTCCTTGTCTTAGCTGTTGCAGCAGATGAAAGAGGATAGTCAAATCTGAGTGTGTGGTTTGTTTATTAGCACTGAATTTTGTGTGTTGAAAACTGTCCGTCCAAATGCAATGTGTCTAAGATGAGCAAGTTCATCATACTGTGACTTTAAATCAAGTTCTTTTGTTTTCTTCTACTTGTTTCCATCTTAAGATTGTTGATCTGTGCTAGAATTTTTGCCTTTCCCATCACTGTAATTAACAAGTGCTGTGTAGATAAACAACCCTGAACTTCAAAGAAATGGCTTGTTTATATTTCTTAGATTTAGAAACTTCTGCTTGAGGCATTTGAGTGCTGTAATGAAATATTTTAATTTAAGCTGTAATGGAAAGAAATAGAAAAAGGTAATCATCTTTACTGGGCTTAGGGCAGTCTGTGTTGAGCCCTTGGATTTACCTTTGCAGTTAGTGACAATCTTCAGTCTCTAGTTTTCCTCGTGTCTTCATGCAGTGTCCTTTGCTGAAGACTTAATGTAGAGCAGTTTTGTTTAATGTACATATAAGTCACATAGCCCAGCTTCATGGCCTGTTTTTTTTCTCGTGGGATACTGCTGCTCTCTGGTGGCATCTCTGAAACTGTCATGAGGCCTGTGTATAAAGGGTCCTTATAGCAAAGGCCCTCATGCTGGGAGAAACAGTATTAACCTGCAGCAAAATCAGATGCAGTACGCTTGTCCTGTTCCTAGTCTGAAAATTATCCGTGTTTGGGTATTGTTTTAAATGGATAAAATAGTTCAGTACCACTTAAATTGCGAAGTTGGACATAATTTTAACTTTACCAAAACCCAGGAGTTCCTTCCATTTGGATTAATACTGCTTTGATTGTCAGGCATCTGGGAAGCATTGAGTTTTTGTTTGGCTGTGATTGTCATTCCAGAGTGGTTCTGTTATGCAGTGTTACTTCAGCAAGTAAGCAAAAAAACCTAAGCTGCAAATACAGTGTTACCTTTTGCCCTAAAATGAACCACTGCAAATGTTTTGGTGTCTCTTAGCTATGCACTACTTAGACACATATACATGATACAGTATGGAATAAGCAACGTTTCTCTTGTGAAATGACAGTTTTCCCATGGTGTAAAAACTATGTACCTTGACAAAAGTAGTTTGAAGACACACATCTACTAGAATAAGCATTGACAGAGGGGTAATTAGGGATTATAAACAACAATTCTCTTTATCAATTATGATTTTTGTTCACCTTCCCAAAGTTTAATTAATTATTACTCTTTACTTTTCTAGGGAAGACAGTAAAACAGTATTCAAAGTGAATTTTGAAATCAGAGATTTTTAGAAAACTTTGCATCAAACAAATCCTTGATATAATCCTATTGGTTACAGTATTTCTTAAGCACCTTGTTAGGGGCTGTAGATTCAAGAGCAGATTTGCATGATGTAGTCAGGCTTTCAGGCTCTGGTGCTTATGAGCAGGAGAGCTCACAGAGTAGCACCAGCCTGTTCTCTGCTGGGCATGGGGTGTTTTTACTGCTCAAAGGAGGCTTGCAGTTGGTATCTCAGTCATCAGGGGTGTGTGTGTGTGTGTGTGTATACGTGTGTGTACTTGTCTGTAGATCTACCTCCACAGTGACACACTGTAACTCTAGCTGTTTTGACTTAGGGCTACTTAAGGCCCAGTGACTGATGTTCCCAGAGAATAAACTATATGCAGGTGGAAATGCGATTTATATTACATATGGAACTGTGGATAAGGTGTATAAGTGATAAGACAACAGTATGTGGCCAATATTGCTGTAAGTTCTTCCATATTGCATGTAAGAGCTATAGACTGAGGGTTTGGAGACAAATCAGAGTCAGAAGTGCTGCCCTAGGGAGTTACCTGCATGACGTAAGTGAAGGATGGCTTTTAAATGTTGTTTGTGTTCAAACGTATTCAGGTTTTGTTCTCCTGCAGCAGCGATGGCCCAGGTCTGGAACCAGACCCAGTAACAGATGAAAGTCCACTAGCAAGCAGGGCTGGTCTTATGCTGACAGAGGAGGTAGAGCATTTCTTAAGAAGTGTGAGGGCTGTTTTTGTTTGGTGTTATCCATTTGTAGGTCAGGTTAGTTGACCCCAATGCTTGGAAGTGTTTCTAGCACAGCAAAGAACAGACTTTGGCATAGCAGGAATGTCAGGAATGTCTCCTACCAACCCAAGCTAAGTTTCCATCCCAGGAGTATAGATACAACTCAGCCTTTGTTACACTCGTCTCCAGAGGAAAAGCAGCAGAGAATGCCAGCAGTGCCTGGGCACAAAGCCATAGCAGCTCCAGAATGCTTCCATTTCCCTTGTCAGAAATCCTGGCTCTTCTTTGTTGTCTAATTCAGGTTTCCATAGAGCATTTAGACTGAAGATCTCAGTCTTTGTTCCTGTCGTTGGTGATGGCTCAGGCCCATGGCATAATAGGTCTCACCAGTGAAGGAGGCAATGTTCTAGAGAGCCAGTTAGGGCTGTGGGATAACCTTAGCCAGGTCAATGTTTGCTCACATTCTGTTATGCTTTGTTTTTTCATTTTGACAGATATATGTTTAACTTGTCACACGTGAAATGGTACTGCCATCGCCAAAATGATCCCCCAAAGCATGAGGCTGCTGGGAATGAGTGTTCCCTAGGTGGAAAAGGGGTTGATGGACAATGAAAGGAAGAGAAGGCCCTTATGACTAGTAAACCTGTAGGAGTCCCTGTAATACCAGTGTGACATATTTGTATGTGCCTGTGCCGAAACCACATGGAAGGAGCTCACCTGCACCACTTTGCAATCTTGCCTTTCTTTCCTTGGGGCTTTAAATTGCCTCTGCGTTCAGCACTATGGCATGTGTTGACCACATTGCTTAATGTGTAACTACAAAACACTATTACAAGATTGCAATACAAAACCAAGAATTAAACAGTAAAATACTTGGCTTTTCTAGTTTCTCTGTAACTCTGGATGAGTATCTTTGGTATTACTGGACTCTTGACTAATGACCATATTGTAAACTCCAAAGTTTCAGTTCTGTACGGAGCCTTTGTCCAATACATACATTCTCTTATTACTTTTTTATAACACTGTACTTCTCTAGAGGTACTGGAAGCATTGTAGGATACCAGCTACTAAGAAAGGTCAGTCTAACATTTTTGTCAGTCTAAGTTTTTGGGTTTTTTTGTACTCTGGGGTCTGCAACTTTCCAGTATTCCTTTTTGTTTCCTTTGGTGACTTTGGTATACACTTGGAAATTTACTGATGCTGCTTAGACTGAAGCCTAATTGTCCAAGTGCAAGGCTTGTCCCTAACAGGTGTGAGTGCACCCAGAGCTGATGGGAGTACCCTGGTCAGGTGTATTTATTGATTCAAGTACACTGATTTATCTGTGTCCTAATCCAGCAACTCAACCTTTTAGTTGAACTGTTCTCTGGCTGCAAATGTCAGCATTTTAATGGTTAGCACTTTTCTATGAACTTTATTTTTGTACTGTAACATGAAGCACTGCACAAGACACTTTAATACACTTAGGATGGTTATGGGAAATTTTTCGTAGTGGTGGTGAAACTTGTTCAAACCATGGACAGAATTGGTATTTCGGTTACCCTTTATTTAGTTCTTGAACATTCCTACTCTGATGTAGAGGAATTGTGTGTTTTAAAACTCACTGGAGAGCTAATGGAAGTAGCTGAGTAAAAAGCAGTAAAAAAGAAGTCTGAGTAAAAGCAACTGTCCACCTCCATGAAATTTGGGGTTATGAGATAAATGAAAATATATGTAACAATCCTAATTCAATACTTGAGTAAATATGGGAAATGTTTTACAGTAGATACAGAACTAGATGGACAGTAGCACAGTGATCAGCATATTCTTGTGTCAAGAGAGAGAATTGAAAAGATACAGAGAATTCTGTGAAGATTGAATGGATCTCTTAATTTTTTTTTTTTAATTTACCTGAACTATGAAAAAAATTCTGTTTTCCTTCTTCAAATTGTTTAGGCTGCCTTGAACAGTCCCTTTTATCCCTTTTAATCTACCACCTGCATTGAGAGCTGTGGGTTGGTTTGGGCTTTGTTGGTTTGGAGGTATTTTTACTCTCTTTTCCTTTCTTTTGTGGCTGTAGATGTAAGGAGCTCAGAATACAACCTGGAGGAGATTGATGAAAGGGAGGAGATAGGTGTGCAACAGGGAGGGGACAGTGGAAGCACCAACACCTCTCCTGGGACAGGAGATGTTACTGCAGCCTTCAGCTCTGCTGAGGTATCACTGGGAAGTGACAAAAATGATCCTGCTTCATCAGCTCCTGCTCCTGGCAGTGTTCCCACAGACAACGCGCAAAGCTTCGAGGAAGAAAAACAAGAAAATATGAGCACAGATGGCAAGTAAGTACGTTTTGTGACAAAGGAAGAAGCATTGGGGGGACAATGGGGGAGGCAAATAAAATACAGAGTGCTGTTTCATTGTGAAGCACAGAATAGAGAATTGTGAGAGAGGAATGAGCTTTAATATGCTTAACTTTCATTGTAGCACTCTTCTGTGCACAGTAATTCATGCAGCTTTTCAACAAAAATGACAATGAAGTGTTCTGCAGTTTTGTTTAATCTTCCCTTTCCTTACTACTCAAACAGCTGGAGCCCAGAAAAGCTGAACCCAGCTCTAAAATGTCCAATGTATTTACTAGAGCAGAATGCTGCAAAAAACCTTGGATTGATTAGTTAAATAAAAATGTACCAAATAATTCTTGCAGATGAGGGAAAATGGATACATCAGCCATTTCTGTTCTTTTGGGCATGATTCTTATTGCTTGCATATTTGTTTTGGCTTTAATTTTTATTTTTTCTTTTCCTTATATGTGGTCTTGACCTGTCTCAATCCATTTGCTCTCAGGAAAACAAGTTAATTCAGCTTTTTTAAAGAATAAACACATTAGTTTCCTTAACTGCTCTTTTTCCCTTCTGGTGATGCTGTACCTTTGCCCTTCAGCATGTTTGTTAAACTACCTGACTCAGCAGGTTTCCAACATGAGTTAGTGCCTGCTTGAAATAAATGTTGATTGTCCAGAGAAGTCCCATTGTGTTAATGTAATTCACTATTTCTCTGTTCCCTGGGGCAACTAAGCTGGCTACTGTTCCCAAATTAAATTGAAAGAACTATTTCGATTATTGTACTGAAGCCAAAACGTGTGACTGCCCTAGTAGCCAAGAACTTTCAAGGTAGTAAAGGGATGTTTAACTTGTGTTTAAAGGGACGTTTTTGTCAGTCCAAGGCCAAATGTGGCTTTGCAAAAATCTTTGCTACTCTGTCCTGGTGAATATTGTCCCAGTTGCTTGGGTGATTCTCCTCTTTATGGATCTAATAAATTGTCTTCAGTTTGCAATTTGTCAGGCCTGTGTTATTGGGCCAGTTTGCCTAATTGTCCAGGGAATTTTTCTTTCCCTTCCACCCTGTGAATTGGTAGTGACCTTTGATGTCTTTCATGTCTGGTGTTGATCAGGTGGAAGGTACTGCACTCTGGCTTTAGACCTTGGCAGTTGCTTCCTGAAATATCTTGGGGATTCCAAAATGAGGAGTGGGGCTTCTCTGACATTATATTTCTGGAAAACTTTAGATAATTTGGATTTTATACATAAGATCCAGTTACTTTGACAAGTGTTTCTTTTTTATACAGCCTAGGATACATGCAAAATATTCCAGTCAAAACCACTAATTTCTATAACGATATTCCATGGTGTTTTGTGGCTTTTGGGTTTGGTGGGTTTTGATTTGATTTTTTTTTTGAATTCCTATTAAAATTCTAGTTCAGCCTATGGTTAATAGTTTTAGTTCAGCCACCCTGCTCTGTTAAAAGGAATGGAGCTAAGCAAGAGAACAGAGTGCGGGACTGAGCTTTAACTTTCTTCCAGCAATAATTTTGAGAGCATATGCTCCTGTTCAGCAGTTTATGGGACACTTACACTGTGCTTGGGACTATACAGACAACACAGGCATGGATGGTTATTGAGAAATGTGTCATTTTAAATGATTCAAAGCAGATGTGTCAGCTCAAAGCGCTGGTTCTGACAACTAATGCATTTGATATGGCAAATAATTTGGAATCTTTATAATGCCAGTATTTCTAACTACATATTATAAAAATATGAATAAAGTTTGACGTTTTAATAACATTTTATCAATAAATTTTAAAGTATTTCTGCCTTTTTCATTTACCTTTTGAAGCCAAGGAGACAATATGTCCACCCCACACCCAAAAAGATGAGGTTTTTATTCAGAATTTTTGCAGTTCTCTTGTCCCAAGAGAAATAAGGAAAATAGATATTATATGTTTTCCAAGATGTTTAGAATGTAACATGTTGTATATGTGTTTCTTTTCTGTTCTCAAGGTATTTCTTGAAAGGGACTACTTTGAGAAGTCTGTACTGCTCAGTTCTTGTGTTCATGCTCAGTCAGTGTCTCATGCAGCATGCAGGGGACAAAGTCAGGGACACATTTTAGATTGAGGGTGTCAGAAAAACTTCATATGAGTGAAGAACCATTGTGGCTTCACTGGACTAGAGTTGCTGTTGGAAAGTGGGTTGTTCAAACTGCACGTGTAAACAAAATGAGGGGGAGAAGACAAAGGAAGACTGATCATCTGCTTACACAGAAGCCAGTGGAGCTGCATGTCATTTTGGTAAAATATCATGGCAGCATTTCCTCTTTTTTTTTTT